AAATAAAATAAAAAAAGAATGGTTCTATATTTATAAAACAATGCCTAAAGTGAACATCAAACAGTATTTTCCTTAAAATTGTGCCTATCAACGTTGTGTCCTCAGTTTCTGTCAACTATGTCAGATTTTTTCATAATTCTTACTAAAGAAGAAAAATTTTGTATAATTTAAAGGCATCAATCTGGTGAATTCTGAGAGCCAAGTTATGATGGCAGGGTATGCATAGATTTCAACATCTTTGTACTTTTTATGTGTGAAAAATGTTCTATTTTTACTGATAAAAACACTAGTGGTATGTTATGGTGAAGGGTTACACATAAAATATGGCTAAGGATTAGTGGTAATCACGAGCTCCTGTTAAATTTGTGCTGTAGTCTGGCTGCCTTAAAGTCTATAGAGAACAAAGACAACAGTGAACAAAGTATATTAAAAGGCAAAGGTGTGTTATTTGCACAATGATAGCAAAAAAGAACATTAGCTCCTATGTGCAACCAAGTTTTCAGTTCAGTTTCACTACTTTGTTGATGCCTACAGTTACCCTAAGGGCAAGTCAACCAGCTGCTTGACTGGTGTATCCACTGCCTAAATGAGTCAACTTAAAAATAAAATAAAAAATATGCCAAATGTGAACCCAGGAACACAATTGTACACTATTAACCAATTGATGTGGCTCTTTTGGCCGACTTGCTGTCATGCTGTACTTCCACAGACCCAGCTGATGTCCGATTGACCAGCATATGAAGCCTTAACATTGCCAACCTTTTAACCACTCTCCTGGAGATTCTGTGGCAGACAGGAAGCCATTCAATCTGTCTGTCGAGGGTGACCATCACTTGACCAGTGGCGTCATCAGGTTTTAACAAGGCTGACACAGACGTCTGCATTAATTCATACAGGGAAAGATGGTAGTCATGCATGCGCTTGCTGGGATGTTTCAGACCACCTCTGCTTTGTATTATGGTCAACAAAGATGGGTCATCACTGTGTGTTGTGGCATAGCTGTGGTCTGTGGAGCTAGAGCTCTGAACAGTTGACAGACAGAAGTCACTGCAGATCTCACATGAGCTTCGTCTCAGTTCTTTAAATATGGCCCAACCTGTGAGATAGTATAATGTTTGTGTTGTGATAAATGGCAGTGGGGGTACTGGGTTGGCTAAACAAGCCTTGGGGATCTCCACTGGTTCCCTAAGTCCTTCCTTTTTCTTTCTCATGTGGTCACTGTACTCAATTAGAGTAGCACAATCATCAGTGCCACACTTCTCAAAATAGGTTAGTGTTATGAGAAAGAAGGACATATTAAGGGAACCAGTGCCCACGAGGTGTGACACCCAGTTTGGGTTTGGGGGTATGAATGATGCAGGGACATGCTGTAGATGTTGACACATGACAGATGGGAAGATAAGGGAACCAGCAAGCACCAACATAGTGGATGTTGCCATCCGAACACCTGTGTGGCTTGGTTTCCAGTGGCTCAGAACCCCACTTTTCACAGACCTGAAGGTGGTGTTTGTCCATGTGAAGAGGAACTCCTGTAGCCTGTTGAGTTTAGCCTCTGCTGTGGTGCTCTTTTGTGGAGAAGACAATGCTGCAACACAAGGGGAGTACAATTACACAACCAAGATCACAACTTCCATCATGTTTCACATCACTATGTGGAAACACAATGCCTATCCTTACATCAGTTATTTTCCACAGAATAAGGCAGGAATATTAGAAGTAATGTGTATTGCAGTGTCATACCACAGTGAGTCCCAGAAATATAAATGGTCAAATAAAAATTAAGGTATGCATGGCAACTTAAGGTTGTGCTCTTACTTATGATAGGCTTACCATTGCAGGGACGGCGAGAGGTCATAAGGTCAAACCAGTCACTGAACAGTTCCACAAACCATGCTGTGGTCTCATCCTCTCTGGGCAGCAAGTCACATACTATGAGAAGTCTGATGGCAGAGGACATTGACTTGGAAAACACCTTGCATGCAGGGGCGACCTACAGTACAAACAAATAGACATATGGGAAATGTTAACAGTTAAACTTTGCAAGGAAATAGAAGATGGGATTCAAAATGCTACATCTAAGTCCAAAATACTCACAGGACCAAAATACTACAAGAAGTACTGATTTAAGTCATGATGGTGTACACTACATCTGGTAATTAACCAGTCGTATTTAGTATTAATTTCCATACCTTCATCTTCTCAAAGCTCTGTTTGGTTGAGATGGAACTTGCAGTGAGTCCAGGCACCAATTTTTCAATGGAGTGCTCCTGTATCTCAATCACCTTCTGAATAGGCCTGAGAGTCACCTTTGGACAGCAAACGCAGAACAAAGAAATGTTAAATGTGTGAAGTGATTGATTACAACAAATAAAATATTCTGCATGTTGCTCACCATGTTGTGTGGCAAGTGGTGAAGCTGTGGTTGCACGGGGCCGTTTTCATGGCTTTGAGGAGATGAGGGGTATTGGGTGCAAAAAACAGGAACTCTCCTTGGTAGAATGGATGCTGTATGTATATGATTTATCCATGGCCTCTCCCCCCTGAAGGCCAGCAGCCCGCCACATAGCCTGATTGCTTGAGTCCATGTCAGTGCACTACAAAAAATATTTCAAGAATTGTACAAATAAAAGGAGGTTTAATCGTATTTTTGACATTTTACTCAGTAATATAATACTTTTAATCTTACCACACCGACCACTCTGATACCTCGCTCCCCACAAGCCATGACAATTGCATGCACTAGCCTCCACAGTTCAGATCCACATACAGCGGACCCAGTGAAATGATATGCCACCACTTGCTTGTAATGGACAGTAAAGCTTGTAAGCATGCAAGTGAGAAGTTTTTTGCCATGCTTGTCTGGAGTAGGAGGCATGGTTACTGCTCCTAACACTGTCTTGGTGGCTGGTTTGTATTGCAGGCAGAACAAACATCTGGGCATGACTGGGAAGGGACTTCAGTTTTACTGACATCAAATCCAAGATGTCCAGCTGGATACCAGGTGGAAATGGAAGTCCCACCAGTCGTCGTGTAATTGTTCTGTATGATGGTATTGGGTAGTTCATGTCTTGGAAGATTAAACACAAACATTTACAAAAGTTCATTTGCATAATTATGCTTAATATTTCATTTCTCACAATATGTATAGCCATTTAGTAATGGTACCTTTCCACACACACTCATATCCATCCTGTCCAATAGCTAACCTGAGTGCGAGACAGCTGGAAATTGTGTCAGTGGACCACTTGTGAGTGTTAGCTTGCCAGGTGGGATCAAGCCTGTCAACTCAGAATGGACTCATGAGACTATTTATATTTACACACATAAAGACACACAAACACACACACATACTCATACACATACCTATTTTCAAGAAATTCTATCTGGTCTTTCCGGAAGACTCGAGAAAGCATTTCGTTCTGGAAAAGATTAACAAGTTCTCATTATTCTTAATTAATGGTGGCCTTCAACATCCATGTAAGTAGGCAATAATCCATTCTTACTTTACCAACCTTTTTCACCAGCTCACATCTCAACTGTTCAATCAACTGATCTTTTGATAAGGCATTTGTTTTAGCACCAGCCAGTACACCATCTGATTCTGGGGTAAAGCAGCGAATAAAAGTAAACATAACACACAAACTCCCAGTATGGGATAATATATGTCAAACATCCTATAAGTGTCCTTAACTATGAAATGATTTGCAAGTTATTTTTCTGGCCTCTTGCCATGTATTCCTGTGGCTGAACTACTGGCAGTAGTGGT